TAGAAAATTCCTCCGCAGAGAAGCCACACCCATTACTGACTCAATACCCTCTGTTGTGAGCATCCCTGAGCAGAATCTTAGAGGGTGAATGAGAGTTGGGGTCTTGGAATCTAAAAAAACAAAACAAATGAATATATATAAGAAAACAGAAACAGACTCACAGATATAGAGAATAAGTGAGGAGAAGAAAGGGAGAGGGGGGAGATAAGGGTATGGGATGAAGAGATACAAACTACTATGTGTAAAATAAATGAGCAACAAGGATATAAAGTACAGGGGAATGTAGTCATTATTTTATAATAACTTTAAATGGAGTCTACTCTATAAAAATATTGAATCACTATGTTGTACACCTGAAACTAATAAATATTATAAATCAATATTGTAAATACTTTAGTTAAAAAATAAATATTGTAAATTTTTATTTACAATATTTACTTAGTGTAAACAAACTTATTTAAAAATAACTATTGTAAATACTTTAGTTAAAAATAATAAAATATTTTTATTATGATTTTTATACTTAAGCAAAAAAAAAAAATTAGAGTCTTGAGCCAATCCAACAATGTCCAGATTTCACTTAACATCTTGTTCACATTACATAACCTTCTGTGTCTCCATTTCCTCGTTTATGAACGTGGGGATAATAAGAGAGATTGTAAGGAAAATTGAATGATATATATGCACAGCACTTGGCAACTGCCTGTCATGGATAAGCGCCCCATCAACTTTAGGTGTGGCTCTTTGGTGTCAACACTCCAAAGAGTCAAGATGAACATAGCCTTCTCTCTTGTGCTCGGTAATTTACTATTTCCTTATTTTTCTTAAATTAGCAATCCTCTCTTCTCCCACAAAGCCTCCCTATATCTAAGAGTCTTCCTGGGAAAGGTGGGCTTTGAAATGAAAACGAGAATGAACTTGCAGGAGATCTCTCAGCATGATTTCTCAGATTTCTCCATGGTAAAAAAAAATGCCTAAAACCACAATTCCCTCCCTGGAGGTATGAGTGGGGTCCAGATGATCAGACCTCTCTCCTGGAAATTCTGATGCAGGTGGTCAGGGTTGAAACCCAGGCATCTATATTTTTAACAAACATTGTAGATAATTGTCTTCAGGGAAGTTTGAGAAGTTCTGGAGTAGAGGGAGAGGTCAAAAATAGAGAGGAATTCTAGGTGAAAAAAATGGTAGAGAATTAGATGCAGACTCACTAGGAAAAAATGGGAAGACCCTGCCTAGATCAACTTGAGTATATCCATTGGAGACAGTGAAAGAAGATGAACAGAGGAGGAAGCAAAAACAGAGAGGGTGATATTATGGCCACTTTCACCAGCTTCTGCAGAAATGAGGTTTAAAGCCCATTCTTTTAGAAGGTCTTCAGAAACTAGAAGTAACCATTCCTGGGCATCCTCAGCAACCACACAGCTAGGTTGTCTTAGAGGCCAACATGGTGGGTGGCAAAATGGAAGCTGCAAAAGAAGCAAAACCTGCAAGAGATTTGGTGATCCAGCCCCCTTTCCACTCTGCATTTGTACCATCCCCAAGTGCTTCCCGGCTGTGGCTGATATAAGATGCACCTGCCGAGCATTTTCTAAGCTACCTCTTTCCAGATCCAGTCCCGGAACAATTATGCCAGGACCCACAGGAGTAGGGCTCGGCTTTATTGCTTTTAACTTCTCCCTGTGAATCTAGGGGCAGCCAAGGGGAGAACCATTCAGCTAGACAAGCGCTTCTCAGCCTTGGCTGCATAATACAATCACCTGGAGGTCTTTAGAAACTACAGATGCCTGAGACCCACTTACAGAGCTGCCCATTTAACTGGTCACTAGGAATTTTAGGAGCACACCAGCTGTTTACCCTGTCCAGCCAAGGTTGAGAATGACTCGGCCAGACCTAATCATCAACAGCCACTGCACAAACCAGTTTGCTGAAAATAAGGTCCAACTGCATTTGAAGTTTACGTCCTCAGGCCTGGGTTGACAGTGAAGAGCAGACCAGGATTAGCAAAAGGGGACAGGCCCCGTGCCAGGCTCCTTTGCCCTCTTGAGAGGTGACCCCCCCCGTCCAGAGCACACCTGGGTTGCTCTGATCATTAAGTTTTCCTGACAGTTTGGGAACAGCAGACTTCTCTGCTAGGTCTTTAATCTCTTTGATCATACCTCTCTCTGGTCATTTGGGGTAAATAATTTCACCGAGAGGGTCATATCATTTTATGGGCAGACTAAAAGACATGGTTTATCTTCAATTTCAAGTGGAGAGAAACAGAATTGTATATAAAAGTGTCCTAACGGAGGAGACATAGACACCACAATGAAACCTGCCCCTTATTCTACCCAAATTCTTCTGTTGGCCTGACATGTGGGATGTCTCTTACCAGGCTATATTTGCCAGGCATTTCCTATTAATTGTACTTATAATCAATTGATGAAAGAGTAGTTCAGAGGGAGGGGTGATCACACAGGCTTACTCCATGGAATTAATGAGCTTCATAGGAATGCACTTTTCTAAGACGTTAGGGTAACCTTCCTTGGATGTAGTGGGACTGCTTGTGTGGATTAAAAAAAAGTACAGAATTGGTACGTCCAGTGGATTACTACTTTTTTACAAATATGTTTATACTCCTTTTTTGGCACTGCTGCAGAGCCCATGGCATATTCTTTAAAATGTTGGTGATAACTCTCTAAACTTTGATGTAGACGATTTGATAGTTGGAGGCAGTCTCAGCCAACTCTTTTGAAGACAGTAAGTCATCAACGGGAGTGATCCCCTTTGTTTAGAAATTTGCCCAGTAATCAAAGACACTGAAAAAAGTCCAAATATATAGATTACAAAAACAAAAAAGAAGAAGGAAATGGAGAAAGTGTAGCATTTTTTTAAAGAGTAAGTATATCATGTCAAAAATAAGAGTGATATGAAGAACAGCCATCATAGTTTCTAAAAATCTGGTACAATTAAAGAAAAGGGCCTCATTGCTTTATAATCATACTTGCAGGCTGCATTTTTACAAGTTTTCCCTCTTCATCCAATCACTGTTTTTTTTGTTGTTGTTTGTTTTGTGTTTTTTTTTTCGGTACGCGGGCCTCTCACTGTTGTGGTCTCTCCCGTTGCGGAGCACAGGCTCCGGACGCGCAGGCTCAGCGACCATGGCTCACGGGCCCAGCCGCTTCGCGGCATGTGGGATCTTCCCGGACCGGGGCACGAACCCGTGTCCCCTGCATCAGCAAGCGGACTCTCAACCACTGTGCCACCAGGGAAGCCCAATCACTGTTTTTTAATCTGTGTTGGTTGCCTTCCATGGCTTTCCCAGAGTCTAGCACGCTGGATAGTTTCTTAGGGAAAATGCAGAAGAGAGACTCAAGGGAGAAGTGCGTTTAGGGTTAGCGAGTATGGATGGGATAGGGCCACCTCACGAATGAGGCCCCCCTCGTAGATAAGAGAATGGCTCTTCCAAAGAGCTTGCCCCTTAGATAAACCAGATCACCGTTCTTGGTTACAGTACATTCTTCTTTTGATCGTGCTAGAAACAGAGGTCCTTCCAAAGTACTTGTTTGGTCCACCGGACAATATCATACATGTAATTTGAGCTGTGTCTTAGAGTCAGTCCTAGGTGAGCAGGTCAAAACAGATACTCAACCCAAACAGCTTCATTTTCAGGGATACTAGTTTTACTTCTCAAACCTTGAAAAGTTGATGCCAGATAACGATGGGGCCCAAAAAGTTCGTAAAAGAGCAAAAAGATAGCCAACATCCAACAACACTAACTTTCATTGTTTTAAGAGAGGTGATAAATGAACTTAGTTATGACTTTTGTTATGTGGACGAGAAACATAAAAAATGCTATCCTCAGACCATGCATAATTTTGTTGAGATTTCATTGGTGTGGCAATGATGAGAGTCTTCAGCTGAATGTTAAATTCTAGTGAATTTTCAAATGGTAGCTCTATTTGTATTCCAGGGTGTACCTCTTACAATAGTAAAACTTTCTTAAGATGTTTTAAGGGATGCTCAATCACTAGATACTTTTAGAAACGTTGGAACAAGACCAATCAAACCAAAAGGCAAAAATGCATTTATCTGGGTTCCAGATGATTCCTATGCACAGTAAAATCTAACAAATGAGAATTAGAAGCCTCAATACTCCTGCTTCTGCGGCATTTAAGAGCCTAGCCAATCTCATTGGGACATTTTTGTAATCTGTCTGACGCAGACGTTCTTATTTCTAGAGAAACAGACAGTACCCCTGAATTAGAACATTACATTGTGGAAATGGCACAGTTGGAAACATCTTAAGAGAGTTTTATCATCTTTCTGGATTTACTAAATCAAAGTGAAACAGCATTTTCCATTTCTATTTTCTTTTTAATACCGCATCGTTAAAAATAATTTGGCAAGACAGGGTTTATTTCAATTGATGAGTTCTCTTACCTTCTTTATGTAGCAAGCCTCATTTGGTGAGGAAATTATTATCCATAACATGACACCATTTAACATACTCTTCTGAAATGACAGTATTGCTTTTTCTTTCATTTAAAAAATTTTTTTGGATATTATACTATAATAATAGAGTTTGGGATTTTATGATTTTCCTAGCTAGTTGCAGTATACTCTTTTTCTAATAGATAGTCTAATTTTGTTTCTTTTTTTTTTTTTAGTGTAGCCTCCTTTGAGCATTAGAAATCCATAGAAGCTCAGTTTGAAATGCCCTAGCCTTAGAAACATACCCTGGCATGATGACATTTTAGTAACACATAATTAATATTTCAGTGCAACAGCTTATACATGGTCCATGTTCTGACATCATCATGATTTTGTTGAAGGGTTCCCCGCATGCCTGTTTCATGATCTTCCTAAACTCTCTAGGTCCAAGAGAGAGCAGCACATTTCCTTGCAACATCCAAACGCAGCACCCTTCCCTCCCCCTCATCTGAATACATCGAACCAATTGGCAGAGAGAGCATTTCCCCCTGAGCGAGCAGTATTGTGAATTTTATCTTCTCTTCCAGAAATCAGTTCGTCTTCGTTGCAGCAGATGAAATTTCTTGTAACACCTCTGCAGGTAACAAACATTGCTACTTCTTGATGCATCCATCCAAGTCCCAGTATCCTTTTTTTTTTTTTTTTTCCCTTCACATGCTGCAGTCGGTCACACTAGAAAGTTTAGTTTAAAAAAAAAAAAAAAGAAAGAAAGTCATATCTTTGGAGTATAGCTGGAGCTTTTCGGCTCTGCTGTCTAAAAAGACAGTAGGCATTTTGCTAACTTGGATATTTTAATTCCAGTTTTAATAATACATGATCCAGAAAAGTAACACTATATTGAATGAAGCCGCAATAAAATCTTATGGTATAATCGTATGGTGAAATACTAAATGGGAGATTTAGGGACACAGTCATGGGACTTCTATGTTTTTGGACGTATTATGTCTGGGTTCACACAGATTTCTATGTGATTATTTGGGATCTTTATGGAATGACTGGTATATATTATAGGCCCTCAAAGAACGAATCTGTAAAGCTGGAGGCATTGGGGAATATAATTATCTCTGTCTTATAAGAAGGGGATCTCTATTCCATTAGTTAAAGATCCTCTAGTTCTTTCTTTTAAAACATACTACAAGTAGCAGGACATGAGAGAGACAGAGTCTTCTGATTTTGAAATCAGGGCATTGGCCAATGGAAATTGCACAGTTGCATGATGTGTCCATCAAAATAACGCCTGTCTTTTTGCTTTGATGTGGTTCAGAACAGTTATGTTTGGACTTCCATTAGCATGGAATTACTTGATTAAATGTCAAGATAGGTGAGTGCCTTAACTAACAACACATTTTTTTTTTTTTTTTTTTTTTTTTGCTTTGAAGCCTAAACTCTGACCAAAACAATGACTAGGAGATCTTACCAATGTGTTGCTTTTAGTCTACAAGGGAGGATATGACAGCTCATTCTCATGTCATTGAGTGTGCCATGACCTTCAAAAACATACATTAAACGGAGCCTGACACATAGACATTCATCTGTTAACCAAGCACATGTGATCAATGGCGCGCAGTGAACAAAGGCGTGTTTGCTAACGCTTCACCCCCTGCTTACAGTCTTTGGAGAAAAAGAGAAAGATCAGGGAAGCCTGGAGAGCTAGGAACACATCCCCAGCCCTCTCTGTTCTGTTTCACTGATGGTCGGACTCAATATTTTTAATGGGTTACAGTCTTCCCCTGGGAGTGCCTGAGGTTATGCATGTTCATATTTTAAAGCGCCAGCTTACTCCTTTCTTGAAAACTCGGCTGTTTTCCCTCCAGCCTTTAGCCTCACATATCTCTGTTTCTCCTTGTGAGAGGTGGTGCATTCACTAATGCCTAACAGTAGAAGATGGGGGGTTGCTTTGCTGGGGGTGGCAGGGGAACCTTCCTGGGATACGCGACATTTAACGTTTGAAGAACCTATAGAGAACGAAGCATGCAACGAAAGGGGAAATCAGGGTGGGGAAGAAGGTTGGTTGAAAATGTTAATGAACATCCTGTGTGGCTATACTGGTGGTCCAGAGCCTCTGTCTTCCCTGTTAATCTGTATGCATGTCCCAGTGTGTCTTAGGTCCTATTTTGACATCATAGATCAAACATTGCGAAGTTACCACCTAAGAGGTAGATATTGATTTTGCCCCGTGACTTAACAAACCCTGCCTTGTAATAAGCAAGTGGTCCACACACAATATTTCGAAAAGAGGCTGCAGACAATGAAAGTTTGCCTGAGTCGGGAGAGTGTTTTCATCTACCTTGTCTAATTTAGGATGGCTGCTCCGTAAATTCTTAATGAATTGCTATTGATCAAATTTCAAATTGAGAGAGATATCCCTGTTGCTTTGATGGCCATATTAATAATATGTTGTATGCTTCATAAGGTTCAATTTGAACTCTGAATTTCGAATCAAGCATGAAAAAGGAGACACCCATATCAATCAAATGTGAATTATCTCCCAGCCAGACCACCCTCCTCATAGAATGAAAATGAAAAGTCAGAACTGCGCAGTCAACAAAGGTTGTGACTCATGGTTTCAATGAAGTCTTTCTTATTTCCCACATACTGGAAAAAACCCAGGGCACCCACACCCTAAACAGCCCAGCTGTCTGGAGCTCTCCCCTCCGTATATACAACACTTCTTAGGGTGGGTTTAATTGCACCCTGGTGTCTCCTGGATTTCAGTATTTGACCCAGGAAGGCAACTTATCTCTATTGAAATGAGAAAAAGAGATCAACAAGATGCTTAAAGTCTGTTTGGAGGGCTTGATGGATTTGATACCTGAAATTCTTATAAAGAAGCGTTATTCTTATACAGCTGTCTATGAGGGCAGAGATGGCCGGACAGTTTTGTCTGTGGCTTGGGGCAGAGGAGGTGAGATGCAAATCATAAGATAGGAGCAATGGAAGCCCTGAAGAATTTTTCTTTCAGTTCCCAAAGGAAAAGTGATTATTTTTACTTGGGTCTTTTGTAGATGCCAACACGTCGATTCTGCTTTGCTGGTCACATAGAGGAAACGTGTCTCACTAGCATGTGTGGTTTATGAGACTGCATCTACAAGGGAATGTGTTTTCGTTGTCAGTGGCTCCAACTGCAATATTGGTTGTTTCATTCTGATTTTCGTTCCTGAAAGACATGTGTTTATGTGGCTGTCTCATTCACCTTGAACACACCAAAGGCTTCTCATTCTGTAACATCAAGAAACTTTGATGAGTTGGATTCTGCAGGAGATGGTGAAAAGGGCAAGATGATTTTCCCTTCTCTTCGACCTGAGGTCTCCCTGCTGCTGTGATTCACTGGAGCTTTTCCTGGACTGGCTAGGGATTGTAGTTGGAGTAGAATGTGGGTCTTGTACAAGAATGGAGGTTGAAAAGCACATGACTTATTTTGATAGAACAGCTGGAAATTCATTTCAGTTAATTCATATGTTTTGGGTCATCACCGTGCATCAGCAACTATTCTAGGCTTTCGAGACATAGCATTAAATAAGTTAAGAGAAGCCCTTCCTTCAGAGAGCCTCCATCCTAGTGCAGACCAGACCCCAAACGTACATGAGCATATAATATAATTGCATGTAAAGTTATACAATAGCTATAATGAATCAAAAAGCAAGGGTGGGGGTAGAAAGTAAGTTGCGATGCTACTTTCATATTCATTGATCAGAGGTGGCCTCTCTGAGAGGGTGCCACTTGAGCCGGGACACGAATCAAGCCAGGGTGTGAGCCAGGTGAGTAATTGTGGAATTGAAAGCATTTCAGGCTGAAGCAGCAGCAAGTGCAAATGCCCTGTGGTTGAGGTATGCTTAAGGTGTGCAGGCACAGTGTGCCCAGAGCATGTGAGTAAAAGGGAGGATTTTAGAGATAATACCAGGAAGATAGCCAGGGGTCCAAACAAATTAGAACTTGGAGGCTACAGAAACCATTTGAGATTTTAAGTGTGGTAGGAAGGCGTTGGAGGTTCGGCTGTGGTTTGACTTACTTTTTTTAATGATGAGTTGGACTGCTTTGTGGATTTCAATATGGCAAGAGCAGAAGAAAGGGAGTCCCTTGGGGCAGCCCAGGGAGGTGTTACAATGGCCTGGGTTAGGACAATGGCTGTAGAAGAGCTGAGAAGTGGTTCCTTGGCTGTATTTTGACAAGAGAACAAACAGGATATGCTGGCAGATTAGAAACTCGCAAGGACCAGTTTGTGTTAAATGCCCACACGTCCCTCCTGCCCCCAGGGTGTATTGGTCATTTCCCTGGAGAGCTAAGGCTTTTTGTTAGCAGGGAAAGCAAGCCTTTCATCCCTGCAGTAACTGTCCCTCATATGGGCTTTACTGAATTCCCCAGGGCGTAGTCATAACTTGCCATCATTTATTGAGCAAATTCTGTGTACTTACAAGTATGATAAATTATATACAAATATAAATTATATATACACATGCATTTATGTATATATGTATGTATGTATATATACATGCATATATAATTTATTACAGTAGCTCAGTGAGGTAGAGGTTACTACCATCCTTGCTTTGCAAATTAAAAAAGAACAAAACGCTCAGGCCCAGAGGGGTTTGGTAACTTGGCCATGGTCACACAGGAGTCTATCTGGTCCCACTGCTTTTTCCCTGAGACCACACTGCCCCCAATTACTCCTTTCATCTTGACCTTGGAACATTGACCTTTGCCTCCAGATGGAATTCTCCTGCATTCTTCGGCTGTGCTATCTTGCTCCTAGAAAACTAGTTATTTGTGAGTTGGGGATGGGCATCGTTGTTAAAATCTGGAGGGACCCCAAGGGAACTAAACGATTCCCTAAACAGTTGTTCCAGTAGGAGTTTGTTTGACTTGGCCCGTCTCCTTCATGCAGCTCGTGTGTGCTGAGCACTTGACATGCTGGGCCTGGGTCTGGGGGCAGAACAGAGTGGTGAAGGGAGAATTCTGCATATCCAGGGAGACAGAGGGTCACACAAGCCAAGGGTGTTCTAGTGCTATTCTCCAAAATTCCCTCCTTTGCTGAAAATCAGTGGTGAAAAATCAACAGATAACCCATGCCCTGAAAACTACCAGACACTTTGACTTCATTGTTCTGGCTGCCAGCTGCCCCTGGCCCAAGGGAGCGTGTGCGCATTTGTGTGTCTCTGGGGGGCAGGTGAGGCTGGGTCTCCGTCCAGCAGCCAGTCTCGCCCCTCCACCATGGCAGGTAGCATCGTGGCGATGGGAAGCCAGCCTGCGGAGAGACTCCCAGTCCCTTATGAGTACTGGATACAGAAGCCTGGGCCATAAAAACACATCTACAAATGCTGTTGAAACCAGTCCCCGTGACATGGGTCGCTATACGCTTCTATTAGAGGCATTGTTTGGCAAGTTCAGGGGCACAGTGGGGGGGGGGTGTCACCAGCCCCCTCCATCTCTTTATCCCCCCCAACCTGCACACGCACACACTTGCACACCCATGCAGTCGTACTAAGACTTCAGATAATATTTAGAAGAAATTTCCAAATTGGCCATTCCTCTAATTGATCCTTCAGCAAATTTCATCTAATGGTCTCCCTTCCATTTCAG